CATGTGGTTTAAACTGACCTTGCTGCCCAGTGCTTTATTCAACAATGCCACACCAGAATCCCATGAAACAGCAGTCTCTAAACATAAATCTACAAAAGACATATAAGACTATCAAAAAGATGATAAAACCTCACTGCAAGATTTTATAAAGGAGGTCAATGTTCACACAATGTTCTCTCTAAATTGGTTTACAGATTTAATGTAATACCAATCAAAATCCCATGTGATTTAAAAACTCAAATGAAAAGACAAAGGACCAAGAAAAGCACTTTTGAAAAAGAACAAAGAGAGAAGATGTGCATCCCCCTTTTGACGGGCATTTATGATTGACTAATTTCACTCAGCATAATGTTTTCTAGGTTCATCAAAGTTATGAGGTGTTTCCCCTCAAATTATTCAACACCGCATTGTATTCGATTGTATGCAAGTACCAAGGTAAGCATAACCATTCTTCTGTTGATGAGTATTTAGGCTGTCTCAATCTTTTTGATGTATCTCTTATAGACAGCATATTGAAGGATCCTGTTTTCTTATCCATTCTGTTCTCTGTCTCCTGATTAGTGCATTTAATCCATTTACCAGACCAACTTTACAATTTTTTGTATTTCCCAAGCTGCTTTCAGGATTCTTTCCTTACGTTTTGGCAAGTTTGATCATGTCTTGGTGATTTTCTTTTGGGATCTATCCTGTTTGGGATTCATTCAGCTTCTTGTATGCTTATCTTCTCATCAATTTATTTTTAGTGTCGCTTCCTGTTCTGGAATTCTGATTACCCTCAAGTTATTACTCTTCGTGGTGTCCCACATAGCTCTTAGGCATTCTTCAGATTTTTCACTATTATTTTCTGACTGTTCTTCTAGCACTGTAGTATTGAGAGATTTATCTTCAAGTTTACTAATTCCAGCCTCTATCTATTGCTTCGAATTTACCCTTTCAATGTATTCCATTTCAGAAATCTTAGCTGTTAATCTTCTGGATTTCTAATGACAGATTTTGTATTATTGCAAATTTTGCATTTATTTTGTCTATTTGTTCTTCTAGCATTTTCCTGAATTCTTCCAAAGATTTTTGTGTGTGTGTTTTCTCCTTATGTTCCTTGATCTTTCCATCAATCCTTTGACGATACTCAAATATCATTCTTTTGGATTGTTTTTCAGTTAGTAGTTCCATTACCTTCTCGTCTTTGAAAATGTTTTTGCATCTTTTTCATTTGTTTGTGACAGCCTCCCTATTTCTTCATGTGAGCTAAAATTGTCTGTTGTATCCACAGCATTGTGGTGTAGTTATATTTTTATTTAATTAATGATTGCATGTTGATGTATTCTTAGGCTCTCAACAAGTCTCCTATGGTTGTAGTTAAGAGAATCAACGTGCACGCACCATTTTCCATTCTTGCACGTCAGTTTAGGGTGGGTTTGACTGGTGTTGGGTGTTGATCAGGGAGTACAGGAGCTAGTACTGCCTCTTGCACAGTGGGTGGAGCTGCAGAGTGTATGGCTGTGGCTGGGCTGTATGGGTAGGTTACTGTCTACTATACAGTGGGAAAGAGAAAACCCCCTCCCCCTCTTAGCCCCCCACACAAGAAAATCAAACAGAATAAACACAAAAGGAATCAACAATGAAAAGAGAAAAAGAAAATAAAAATAGGCAGCAAAGAATCTAATAACTATAAAGACAAAAGAGGCACAGGAGAGGGAAATGGAGCTATAGCAGAGAAAAGAGAGGGGATAAAAGGAAAAAAATAAAAATAAAAACATTCAGAAAAACCAGTTAGAAGGAGGATGAAAAGAAGAGAGTTAAGGGAGAGGAGGGGAACTGTGAACCAGAAAAAAATAAAGTATGAAATCCCCAAAATGCCAGCTTTCCCCTAGAAACTTTTATGAACCTGTCATATATTAATTTATCTAATTTTGGTCTGAAACACAAGCAATGCATTCCATGTAATACTACTGTTGTTGTTGTTGTTATGTGCCGTGGTGTCGGTTCTGACTCATAGCGACCCTGCATAGGGTTTCTAAGGCTGTAAATCTTTATGGGAGCAGAAAGCCTCATCTTTCTCCTGAGGAACAGCTGGTAGTTTCAAACTGTTGACTTGTGGCTTGCAGCCTGATTAGAAACCACTATGCTACCAGAGCTCCTTATGTGATACTACTGGTGAGTCTTAAATCCACAATTCCTAAAGTCCAAAAGGCATACCTTTTAGGATACAAGCAAGTCCCCAACTTATAAGTGGATTATATTCCAAAAGCTCATTTGTCATTTGATCATTTGAAACTTGGAATGCCTTTTCTCACAGAAGCCATGATATATAAATTATGGTTAAAATTCCCAGACTTGTCCACAAAAGTATGTTAAGATAAATGAGACACATATATTTGCAAGCAGAAACAGTATTACAGCTCCTATCCCAGGAGCTCCTGAAAATAGGTCTTAAGCAGTTTCAAGCCAGTTCTGAAATTCATCCATACTTAAAAGATTAATATCAAATCAGTAAGTATAAGGGATGGCTATGTAAGGAAAAAGGAGCTCTGGTAAGGTAGTGGATATGATCTGGACTGCTAATCTCACAGTCAGCAGTTGGAAACTACCAGTGGTTCT